CTGGTGAATTTACATGTCAAATCTTTGATGATTACTGCATGACATTGTGCTTTGATGTTGAACACTCTGTTCCTCATGTCCATACTCAAAATGGTTTAGCAGAAGCATTGATCAAGTGGCTTCAGTTAATAGCTTGCACTCTGCTCATGAAAACAAAATTATTAGTTTCTTCATGGGAATATGCCATCTTACATGCTGCATCATTGGTTCGATTGAGACCAATAACCAACCACCAACCACCAATACTCCTCAGTATAACTCGTGTTTGGACATCAGCCAAACATTTCACATTTACGAGTTTTTGGTTGTGTTGTTTATATGCCTATTGCTTCGCTGCAACGCACTAAATGAGACCTCAGCGTAAACTGAGAATTTATGCGGGTTTTGATTCACCATCGATCATTAAATATTTGGAACCCTTGACAATTGATGTGTTTACAACTCGTTTTGCTAATTGTTACTTTGATGAGACAATATTCCCGTCGTTAGGGGGAGAAAAGATCATTCCAGAAGAACGGCAAGAGCTGACATGGGTTGTACCCACCTTGTCTCATTTTGATCCACGTAACACTCAATGTGAAAATGAAGTGAAAATGATCGTTTATCTTCAAAGTGTTGCCAATCAAATGCCAGATACATTTAATGATACTATGAAAGTGACAAAATCACATATACCAGCTGCAAATGCACCTGCAAGAATTGATGTCCCTGCTGGACAAAATAAAGTGGCAGCGAATGATTCATCTGGTGCACGCCTGAAGCGTGGTAAACCCCTAGGTTCAAAAGATTCAGCCACTCGAAAGAGAAAGACAAGGGCACATCTGAATCCAAATGAAATCATTCAAGAAGAGAAAATGAATGAAAAATCCGCATTCATGATTCTGTACTTCCAGAAAAAGAAAATGTTATTGATGAGACACATGTCCCTGAAGAGACAGCAGTACATGAAAGTAAAGAAATCTCCATAAATTATGCATGTACAAATGAATTGTGGGATCATAATGAAATAATCATCGATGATATGTTCGCATTCGCAATAGCCGCTGAAATCATATTAAGTGATGATATTGAGCCCCGCTCTGTTGATGAATGTAAACAGAGACAAGATTGGCTTAAGTGGAAAGATGCAATCCAGGCAGAATTAAATTCCTTGGAAAGGCAAAATGTTTTTGGACCGGTAGTCCAAACTCCGCCTGATGTAAATCTTGTGGGCTACAAATGGGTATTCATAAGAAAACACAATGAGAAAAATGAGATAGCAAGATACAAAGCATAACTCATTGCATAAGGCTTTTCACAAAGACCTGTAATTGATTATGAGGAGACATATTCTCTTGTAATGGATGCAATTACGTTTTGTTACTTAATAAGTTTAGTGGTTTCAGAAAAGCTTGACATGCGACTTATGGATGTCATCACTGCGTATCTATATAGAGAATTAGTTACTGACATATACATGAAGGTCCCAGAATGACTTAAGTTGTCTGAAACAACTAACAAACCACAATGTATGCTCTCGATCAAATTAAGACAATCATTGTATGAGCTGAAACAATCTGGACGAATGTGGTATAATCATCTCAGTGAATATTTGATCAAAGAAGGATATATCAACAATGTCATTTGCCCTTGTGTGTTCATTAAGAAATCCAATTCTGGATTTGCTATAGGGGCAGTATATGTTGATGATACGAACCTAGTTGAAACTTCTGAATAGCTCAATAAAACTGCTGAATATTTGAAAAGCGAATTTGAAATGAAAGACCTAGGGAAAACAAAATATTTACTCGGCCTGTAGATCGATCATTGTGCTAATGGAATTTTGGTCCACCAATCAACTTACATTGAAAAAATCCTGAAACAATTTGGCATGGACAAGGCTTATCCACTTAGCACACCAATAGTCGTTCGTTCTTTGGACATTAAGAAAGATCCATTCCGTCCAAAAGAAGATGATGAAATAGTCCTTAGTCCAGAAGTACCATATATGAGTGCAATATGTGTTTTATTGTACTTAGCGCAATGTACTAGACCAGATATAACTTTTTCAGTTAACTTGTTAGCAAGGTATAACTTTACTCCAACAATGCGTCATTGGAAATGGGTCAAAGATGTTTTGCTATACCTTCGTGGGACAACATACATGAGTCCTTTCTACTTAGGAAAATCCACAAATGACCTGATCCTTGTTGGATATGCAGATGCTGGTTTCGTTTCTGATTCGCATAAAGCCCGCTCACAAACTAGATATGCGTTCACTAATGGAGATACAACAATCTCATGGCGCTCAACAAAGCAAACATTGGTTGCTACATCTTCAAATCACTTAGAAATACTTGCTTTACATGAAGCAAGTTGTGAATGTTCCTGGTTAAGATCAATGATCCATCATATCAGGAATTCATGTGGTCTACCTTCGAAGACAGACAATCCAACTGTCATCCATGAAGATAATGCAGCTTGTGTTGTCCAAATGAAAGAAGGATTCATTAAGGGCGATAAGACTAAACACATATCGCCAAAGTTTTTCAGTGCACATGAGCTACAGAAGGCTAAAGTTATTGAAGTCAGACAAATCCGTTCCAATGAAAATCTGGCAGATCTGTTCACCAAGTCTCTACCAAAGTGCACGTTTCAGAAGTTAGTGAAGAGTATCAGATTACGTTGACTTACCAATTAGCTAAATTTGAAGAATGCAAAATCAGGGGGAGATAAATATCAGGGGAAGCATCAATGATACATGATTGTTGTACTCTTTTTTCTTCGACTAGGATTTTCCCATAGGGTTTTTCCTATCAAGGTTTTAACGAGGCAACATAAGCATACTTAACACTATATCAACCATCCATGTAAAGTTGTACTATTTTTCTTTCGCTAAGGTTTTTTCCTATAGGGTTTTTCCAAGCAAGGTTTTAATGAGGCATCTAAAGTGGAGTGTTGTAAAATTGATGGATTGATGGATGTGAATGCCCACTCAAAAAGAGTATGACTTAGGAATAGTGTTTGATACTTTCAAATTATTATCATTATATTTTTAATGGTTGTAGTTATGAGAGTCGCTCTATAAATAGAGCACTCCATCTGTTATAAAATGCATTGCGAAAGAAAGCAAGAGAAATAATATCAGTATCCCTCCCTTTCTTTATCTATCATCCTTTTTGTGTTATAGCTACTAAAGTCATAGTGTGATATTTTGCACCTGCTTTGTTTCTATCCTTAGAAAGGTTATCTCTCTAACTTTTATCTATTTATAACAGAATAAAAATTGTGGAAATTTAGTTGCTTTTTAAAATCTCTTTTAATGACGATTTGGCTTCAAAATTTTCTTTTTACAGATTTATTTGTTATGAAAATTCGTTTTCATCCTTTAACGTTTGACGTTCTAACTAATTAGTTTTTTTTTTATGGCCTTTTAACCAAAATAATTATTAAGATTGACATAACTCCTTATTTTGGTCATCGACAGTGAAAATCAATAGAAGTGATATTTGAGTTTGTCCATTATAAATAATTTTGATCATTCCTTGAAAATTCTATCAATATCCTAGTTAAGTAGAGGGTTGATTTGCCAAAAATACCTTTAAAAAGGTGGTCACGTGGTTGCTCATGTGACAATTTAACGAGGATATTGACAGATTTTTAACGGAATTACTAAAACGATGTATGATAGACAAACTCAAGAACCACTTCTCGATTTTCATTGTCAGAAATTAAAGTAAAGAGTTGTGCTAATCTCAAGATTATTTTAGCTAAATTTTATTATATAAAGGCTAACAGTGACTCTGAGAGCATAATTAAAGTGTTACAGTTGTGAAATGTAGATGAGGTATTTGATCAAATTCAAATTCCCCCTCACAGAGCAAATGAAGTTCTTGTTCGCTGCATCTAGAAATTAGCAATCTATTTAATGAATTTGATAGATAAACCATAAAATAAAAAGGTGACATATCCATGGCCACTATGCTTCCATCATTCATCTATTTAATTAATTACTTGCTCAAATGAGGGAGCATATATTTATATATATGAGTAATACTACATTTATCATCTATTTATATTATTTTTTTAATTGAGGTAGAATCTGCTAACACATGTAGGTCATATCTCTATTAAAGAGATAGTACAAATATGTGAAAAGAGTAGTATTTTACTATTTTTGTGTGTATACACACACACACACACACTTAATGAAGATGTTGTTGCCTAAAGAATAAATATAATTAAGAGATTTGATTATTAGGTAAAGCACTTCCATTCAATACCTAATATTCTTTGTATATCCTTAATTACAACTCCCTGTTCATACCTAATATTCATGGTTCTTGTAAATTCAGAGACTAGTATTTTCTCTCTATTTTCCTTTCTTTTTCTGACTATATATTAGTGTTGATTTATTATGACTGCAAGGCTAGATTAACATAAGTTCAAATTTCGTGAATAACAAGTTAAAAAATATTTTATTTTTTCATCCTTTAAAAAAAAAACCCTTTTTAAAAAAAGGAAATAACGGAATAGGAATAGGCCCAAATAAGAGAGGGCAAAAACAAGAAAAATCCAGAAGCCGGAGGAGCAAGCCTTGATCTAAAACATTGCCTCTTTTATGTGTCTGATGTTTTTCTTTTGGCCAATTTTCTTCCTAATTGTGCCTTTGGCATTTTTTTTTTCTGTCAATTCTTCCCTACCTACAACCCTTAACTTGTTAAAAAACTATGAAATCTAGATACTGTAGTCTAGAGGTAATTCAATGCTAGAAGAGATCCCAAGTACGGATATTCATTATCCCAGTGATAAAAATAAAATAAAAAACTTGTATCAGTATCACCAAGGTTATTAAGCATAAAATTGTATATGAAATATGAAATCTTCAACTCATGGAACTAATTAATGTAACAACTCAGACATGTATGTATATATGTATATATGTGTGTATATATATAAAAGAAGATACAATTTACAAGGACACAACAAAGACAAGATCTGTACTCATGTCGGCCTTGGAGTGGTACTAATTAATTCCTAATCAAAATCATACTCAATACATACAAAGCCTTAATTTTTTTACAAGATTTTATTTGGACCGGATTATTTACAAGGGTCACAACAAAAGAAAAATGAACTTTTTTTTGGTTTTACAAAAACAGAATGCTGTTAATCATACGGAGATTAAGTTATGGGTAATACTACGATTTATTGCTTTCAAAGCCCTTAAGACCATCTGGGAATTAGGGTTTCAGTGGTGCTGCGGTTCGGACTCAATTTCATTAGCCAGTTCTTTTGTGAGCATGTCAGCCCGATCATCATGTCCACCAGCAAACGTATAAACCCTAAAAGCAAACTGAAAAGCCCTCCACAGCATTTTAACACAAATCTTTGTTTGCTTCTGATCAGTTTTTGTTCCATTACTCTTCTCTGCAGCCTTTGCTTCTCTCCTTTCCTGCATCATATAACAATTCAAAGTCAAACTCTCTTTTCCAAATCATTGTTATATGATTGTTTAAAGTAATTAACTCTGAGTTGCTAACCTTTAGTGCCATCTCCATGCAGCTTGAGGAAACATCCACCATGGCTTCTTTGATCCGGATGAGGATATTGAAGTCGAAATGGATATTCTGGCTCTGAAACTTCTTGGCTTCGTCGTCTTTAGTTCGTTCCATGGCGTCTATTTCTCCTTTGATCTGTGTATTACATTTTTTTATTAGTTTATGGAAAATGGAAAGAGACAATTAAGTAATTAAGATTGTATAAAATGAACATTTATGCACCTTATTGAAGTAGCGTTCTGCCTTGTCAAGGAGCTGACCCAATGGAGCCACTAGTTTCCAATTCTGCAGTTCAGTGAGCATTGTATTTAATTTTTTGTGCAGTGCTGCTGCCATCCTTATTGTTTCCAACTTCTTTGTTGGGAACCCTTCAATCCTTGATAGCACCTACAATTCACAAAACGGCATGTCATGAAACACGATCATGAAGTGATCATATAACTACTATGGAAATGAACAAAACTAAAGCGGACAATGAGTGGTTATTGACCTGTGACTCATCAGTCAAGTGTTCAAGAACAGATTCGACTTTCTTGTGAAACTGCATCAGCTCATTCATGTCTTTTGTTTTGAAAGAACTAAGGGTAGTTCTCATTTCCGTGATAGGCTTTGTATACTTCTTAACATCTTCTTCAATTTGTTGAAAGTATGCTGATCTGAGACACAAAAAGTAGAAACTTATATGATTTTCGCTTTATTTGGCTTTGAGTACTTAGATTACTTATCCGTACAAGAAATACCTCTTTGTCATCTCTGCTAGAGCATCGGCCATTCCTTGTTTTCCGCCAGAGCTGCTTCCAACTCCGCCCTTTCTCCCATTGGATGCTTTTCCATCCAAGCTAGATCCTTCCACCTTTCCCTTGAGAAGGCGATAGAGACTCCCCATTTGGGATGATCTCTTCAGTTTGGTGTCTTTCTTGGGGCGCAAGGATCTTCCTGCGCCGAGTGCAGGAGGTGGGGGTGGAGCAGCTCCATTTGATGGGCCTTTTAACATGGGTGGTGGGGGTGGAGGACCTCCATTTGATGGTCCTGGTGGAGGAGGTGGGGGTGGAGGGCCGCCAATTGACGATCCTGGTGGAGAAGGTGGTGGTGGAGCTCCATTTGACGATCCTGGTGGAGGTGGGGATGGAGCCACTATTGTTGACCCTGGTATCATTGGTGTTGGTGGTGGGGTTGGTGGAGTTACTGACACTGATCCTGGTGTCATTGGTGGAGGTGGTGGGGGTGGTGGCCCCCCAACTGCTGCTACATTTTGTGGTGTTAATGTTGGTGGCGGCGGAGGAGGTGCTGCAACTTGTGGCTGCAAGGTGGGCATTGATGGTGGTGGTGGCGGTGTTGCAACATTTAGCTTCAATGTGGGTAATGATGGTGGTGGAGGGGGTGTTGGTATTCTTGTTGCTGCTTGTGTATTAGGCAGTGAAAGTTGTTGCGCTGGTGGAGGTGGAGGTGGAGGCGGAGGCGCTGATTTTTGTTGTGGTAGTGTTGGCGGCGAGGAAGGCAATGACAATTCTGTGGTGTCTGCTTCCAATGTTTCAGGGGTTGTGGTTGGAGTTTCAACATCATCACTTGTGTTGTCTATTCCCTTTCCACTAGAGTTCTCATTCAAACTCAGATTTGGGGCTACTACTTCCTCATCTGTTGCTGCAATTTTCTTTTGAGGGTTGCTCTCTAATTCTGTCCCAATTGATGGTTCCTCAACCAAATTTTCAATCTTTTCCATACCATCGCCGGTGCCATGAGCTCCTTGTTTCGACAAGTGAAGAGACAAGTTTTTAACATCAATTGGATTCAGCTTCCCAACTGCTTGCACTCTCAAAGTCCAAAGCAATGGTGATTTGTAAGCTGATTAAAACTTTTTGAGTTTTGCTATAATTAATTGAAGATTTGATAAAGACAATTTCTTTACAATTCTAGAGTTGCCCATTTGGGGAATTTGTGGAATTCCATTTAAACCTTAGAATATGCTTTTTCTCGCATTTGATGATTTGGGTGTTGAGCAGCAATGCATTGATGGATACTCTATATAAAAGGAGCAATTTTGGATGATGAGAACAGAGGAGTTGCCACAATGCTTGAGGTCGCCAACCCCAAGATTGGAGCTACTTCAACTTGAAAAGGTTAATTATTTTACAAAATAAGTTCCAATTTCTTGGTATTTGGCTTAACAGTAAATTCCAAGTGAATTTTCCGTTTGGTAGATTTTTTTAATGGAATTTAAGAGAATTGTGAACTTGGTAGAGTTATGTTGTTTATAGAATGCATATCAGCTTTCATGGGTATCAGTCCTCCAATACCTCTATTTGGTTACAAAGGATTCTTCCCTGGTTGATTATAGTAGGCATAATTCAAATAGCTTATGCAGCTTCAACATCTCCCGGTCACCGTAATTTAACAGAAGAATTTGTAATTACAGAATTGCTATAAAAAGTAAGCCATCAATTCACCACAAGTTAATTTAGTTTTTCGTTATATTGGAGTTGAATTTGGTATTTTGTTTAGGTTTTATTATATTAATTATCATAAGCTTCTTTGAGATTACAAGATGTTCTTGGACACATTAATGCAATACAAGAGTTAGAACAAAAAGTGGCTGATTAGAAGGCTTGAAAACAAGTGTAAATCTACATTCAAAATATTAGGTAAAAGCATGTTGACAAATCATCTCCAAATGTTGTAAATACAATACTTCTTACTAACTTTTTTTTGTTTATGTCTATTGATTCAAGAGAAAGAAAAAAAAAAAAAAAGAGTTACACTATGGATTGATGTTGCAAAGAACTTCAGTTCCATTGTGTTGCAACAATTAGTCCCGCCAACATTTGTGGTTATCGCAAGCTTCAAGGTTAAACAATTTACATATGAACGACTCTACACTTTCTAATTGGATAAATATTGGTTTCAAATTAACACAGATACATTTGAAAATTAGTTGGGGAAAGCAAGGTCTAATTTTCTTTTTCATTTTATGCGTTCCAAGCTCCAACTATGTGTTTAATATAAGACAATTTTGCTCATTTGTCTTGATTTATTAAATTATTGAATTTTGTAGCTTGAACTAAGTTCATTTTGAATTTCCAATTCAAAACTACTGCATTGTAAAACTGTTTTCCAAAGAAATTGCTTCATTGTTTACGCTTTCAATTTAAGAGAATGCCATATATTGTCAACGGTAACCAACGATATCTTTTCAGATAATCATGGGAGTATGCCCATGACGTGTTATTAGGGTAGTTCGAGTGCAATAATTTTGTGACAGATATTCGTTTGAAACATTGATATTTTTGGGTTCTTTGACTGCCTTCACATATCTCTTCCATTTAAATACTCGATTGGGAGCTTACTATATTTGTAACCTTATCTTAATGCCCTGCTTAAATATTGAAGAATGACTATTCTTGCAGGGTTGTATTGGACATAAGCTATTCTTAAAGTAGCTGTAGCACCTTAGAATTTTAGAGGTGATCCGATCGGAGGCCGTTTGCAGATAACGATTCTCAATTTCTCGAGTACACCAGTAAAGGTTCTTTATCTTCATTTCTCATTGACATATGTTTTTCCTTGATAACGTAGTTGACAGTTCTTTTAGCCTGTTATTATATAATTACTGTTAACAATGACTTTTAGAGAGAGAGAGAGAGAGAGAGAGAGAGAGAGAGAGAGAGAGAGAGAGGGAGGGATGGATATACCAAATGATGCATGTTCAAGGAATACTCGAACAACATTATTGGAATTGTATAACAATACTTGCCATAATTTTGGTAAGGAATCAGTTGACAGTGTGGGTTCGTAGATTTGGATTTGTCATTCTCTGATATTAACCAAGGAGTGGAAATTTTGATTGGTTTGATTGGTAATTTGGGTATGTTGTTTGCATTCAACATTCTATAATTATGAGAGAAACCGAGATCATCGTAATATATATTTTATCAGCATTCAACATTTATAATTGTGAACTATCTTTGTGGGTTTATCAATTTATTTTTATGGTTTTCAATTTCCTAAATGAAGTTTGACATGTATGGAATTTGACAATTTATCTTCATTTGCATTCTTGCATTTGAATTTGCAAGTCAGTTTGTGTTAAATGTTATTTAATAATTTAGAGAAAACGTTTCAATTGTTTCAATTGATTGTCATGCATCGCAGTTGGAAACTTGATGATTTAGAATCAGCTTATCAATCTTCCATACAATTTCTAATCCCGCAGCAACGCGCGGGCATCAATTTCTAGTTAAAAACTAACACCAATAACAGCTACCAGAGACAGAAGCTCTTATCAATGCTTTGGAAACAGTCATATATCTCCAGGTGTAATGATATAATTGGTTGGAAATTTAAAAGAAAAATGGTGACTCCCTATAAAATCAATAAAAGTTACAATATTGACAATATATCAGCAATTTTTATGTTAATTATAAATAGGTCAATCATGTAAAACCAAATTAAAAGCTAACATCAATAACAATTACCATAGACAGAAGCTCTAATAAATGCTTAGGAAACACAGTCCTGTATCTCCAGGTGTAATGATATAATTGGTTGGAAACTTAAAATAAAAATGGTGATTTTGTATAAAATCAATAAAAAGTTATAAAATTGACAATATATCAGCAGTATTTATGTTAATTATGAATAGGTCTATCATGTATTTAATACTTAAATGCATTTAAAATAAAACACCTGATATGTCACATCCCGGCCCGGGCCCCACCACAACCCAAGCCTGACTCCACCGTAGCATGATCTGTTTTGGGCTCCTACCACACCCTCATGGTTTTGTTTTTGGAAACTCACATGAAAACTTCCCAGTGGATCACCCATCCTAGGATTGCTCTCGCGCGAACTCGCTTAACTTCGGAGTTCCGATGGAACCCGAAGCCAGTGAGTTCCCAAAAGGCTTCGTGATAGGTAGAGATGGGAATATACATATAACGCTTACAGGATCCACTCCCCTGAGCGATGTGAGATGTTACATTATCAATGTTTTCTAAACTGTGTTCAGTTTTTCTCCTTCGCTTAGGTTTTGTTCCATTGAATTTTTCAAGCAAGATTTTATCAAGGCAACTATCATTAACTGTGAACATAACTTATCATTGAGACATGAACATCCAAGGGGGAGTGTCGAGGAACAAAATGTGGATATCTTTATACATTGTATGGTACTAAACCATCATAAACACCATAATAATATAGAAACGTTCTTGGGGTACCTTTGGATGATAACTCATGTATTTGTTGCCCTATGTAAAATGGCTAATGATAATGGAAGACTAATTTTCTCATCCTAATCTCTCCTGTCCCTCTTATTCTCTTTTCTCTATATTTTATTTCCAACAAGTTGTGTTTTTTTTTTAGTATTGTTAAGCAACCCAGTAGATTTTAATTAGTAGTCTTTGTTTTTTATCTTTTATATTTTTAATCAATTTGATCAGTTGCTTATCAGTTCTAGCAAATTGAGCTCTTTTACAGCAATTTTTTCTTTAAATAAAATTATTGTTATTAAAAAAAGTGAGAAAATTCAAAATTATTACAACAATTTTGAAAAAAAGAGTTTCGAATCATGAACGCAAAGGGAGTTTACAACATTTTAATTAAGAAATTAGACTTCAGCTCAACTCATCTTTGCAACGTCGGTTCGACTTCACATCAACGGGCAATGTTTTCTCCTCAACAAATAGTATTCTTTTACGAGACAAAGACTAATGGGGGTGATATATATAATTAATAATCATACTTGTGTTCCCTTTATGAGAGAATGCACATATTTTACCATTCTCTAATCATGTATCTTTATCATATAAATTTTATAGTTAAAGTTATTTAATTTTTAAAAATTCATGCAGATATCTTCTTATAAAAATGTTAGTCGAATCAGAGATCCTTCAATCATTAAAATGTATAAAAAAAAATGAACGATTTCATCATAAATATATTAGTTACTCACACCGTCACTTTGTATATTCCCTTGTGCAGGAAACGCAATTATTATCCTCTAATTAATTATGCTGGAGAGTAGAATTTTTATTGTTGGTTTTATTTGCCACGTTAATATTCGATGAATAATACTTGAATAATTTGGCACATGTTAATATTCAAAAACATTTGGGGGGACCAACAAGAGGAGAAGATGGGGGACAGAAACCAAAAGCATAAAGTCCTCAAGAGCATACTCAATGCCGTTCCACACGTCATACAATTTCTCTTCAACAAGGTTATCGTCTTAGGATTCAAATTAATGGGTTCCATGTGTTCGAATTGATTAAATTAATGTAACCCACACTTCATTATCATTTGTCTTCATCATCATCATAATCTCCTATCCACCAACTCTTGATTAAATTAATATAACCCATAAACTAATCTCAATTTGATGTCCTTTATTTAATTAAGTGCCTTGACACTTCATTATCTTTTGTCTTCATCGTCATCATAGTCTTCTATCCACGAACTCCAACATCAATATTTTTTTTTTTTTTTAGCCTAGACTGTAGCTCAATATCAAAAGAGTTACGTAAAGTATTTAAGCACCATAAAAGAAAATTAAACAACAACGATTGACATAATATTAGTAGTCATACATTTTATCCGATTCCCTTTTAAGCAACTTATATATATTAAATTATTGTCAAAATGTAGTATAAAATAGCTGATCAACGATGAGATTTTAAACAACCATTTTCTTGTAGAAAGTCAAAGGTTGTAGAGGTGACCATGTGCGCTGTGTACGTAAATCAACTAGAGCTATTGCTAATTTGCTATTATGACAAATCATGAAATCAATTAAACAATCATTTTCCTTTTAGAAGGCATGTTAGTTATTTCTTATTGGCCAATTGCCTAGTGGAT